CAGGGAAGTGGTTGAGTCCCCATCCCTGGAGGTGTTTAAAAGATGGGTAGATGAGGTGCTTAGGGACATAGCTTAGTAGTGGACAGGTACGGTTGAACTCGATGATCTTAAAGGTCTTCTCCAACCAAATGATTCTGTGATTCTATGATTAAATTGTCCTCAACAACATCTGTCAAACAGATCATGGCTATTTTACTTGATTTCAGAGTCCAGATCAATTGGCCAGATTTTTTGGCTTGTAAATAGAAGGTGCGATAATAGCATTTTTAGGTCTTTGCATGTTGCCTCAGTGACGGCGAGCAAAATAGAATTTGAAGGGAGGCAATCCAGTTTTTGGAAATCCCCAAACAGAAGCCATGACTGTTTGTTCAGATCTACGGATTGTTTTCATAACAACCCAAGCAGACAAGGAAGAATCTGTTCTGCCACCCACCTGTGCATCAGGCTGCATCAGTGCAACACGTGCATTCTGCTTAAGGCAAAAGTCCTGTTCAGTTGTAATTCACCAAGTTCAGTGGCTGTGGTGTTTTGATGGTGAGAAAATAAAACTTCTGCAATAAAAGGTCAGTTTAAAAGTATAATTCTGTACTAATTTCTTACTATTGTTTCAAATGATGTGGTGAGTGGAGGACATCTTAGGAGGACATGCGAAAGCCAATGCTGGCTATTTGCTGTGTTAAGCTACATGTTTTTATTGCTGGTTTTAATGTCTTTCCACCGTTGTATTTAAATGCAGCTGCATTCCCTTACATCCTGAGCGGTGATTTTAGAGTTGCTTTGCCAAATCTACAGTCAATTTGCTCCTCACCTGTGGTTTTGTGGTGTGACGTGATACTGCAGCTTGTAGGCTTGTTGATTGTGTCATTCCTTTGCCATTAATTGCTGCCTAACACATCATCAGGCGAGTTGGGTGAAACGGCAGCCTATTTCTGCAGCCTTAATTCCCGTTTGTATTTCCATAGAACAGGATGAGACTACTCACGTGTCTGAGACCCGCAGGGTAAGACTAGAAGGCTATTCAATACACAGAAGTTGCAAAAATGTAGTTACTTCAGGCTTTCCAGTTTGTCTGTGTTCGCTGTGCCTTGGCAAAGGTGCCCAAGCCAGTTCTGCAGTCGAGTCTGGACTTGCCCACAGTCGGGGGAAAAGGCGATTGGAGTGGCTCTTTGGCTTTTTAATTTAAGTCTCTCTCCATAATCACAAGTCAGACCGCATGCCAGGAACAAATGACAGCTTGTGCCTGCGCGAGTGGATGGTGTTGCCGTACCACCCCCGAGCCA